TTAAAGGCATAATTTTAAACCCACTCCAACTTGGGCTGGGTTCTACTCTGGAGTGCTCCGGAGTAAGCTACTCCATTCACAACCCTATCATTGAGGTAGATGCTTGAGAATAGTCTAAGTCAGCATGGTGTTCATGCAAAGTATATCTGCTAAGCTTTTCATCAATCAGATTTATTGAAAATTCAAGATCAAATTAATGTTTTTGCAAAGTGCATTGGGCTAATACTTTTCTTCTTCTTATCTAAAATTATTATCACAAGGATTCTTAGAAATCAGTATGATGTTCTTGAAAAGTGCATTGGCCAATACATTTTTCCCTTCTGATCTTGATTTGAAAATCTAAAAAAGGTAGCATGATGTCTTTACCAAGTATAGCTTTTACCTCTCTGATGCTAGATTGTTAAATTGAAATTCAAAGAAGTCAGCTTGGTGTTTTTTAAAATGCTTCTACTAAACTTCAGATCAATAATTATTATCCAAATATGAAGAAGTTAGCGTGATATTCTTACAAAGTACATCTGCTAGATCCAATTTCTGACCAATATCATTATTATCTTGAGATCTGCATGTTGTTTTTGCAAAATATAGCTATTAATATTTATCTTCTTCTAATCCAAAATTATAAAGATTCAAATAAATCAGCATGTGTTTATGCAAAGTATACCCGCTAAGCTTTTCCTCATCAGATCTATTGAAGATTCAAGATCAACATGACATTCTTGTAAAGTGTATTACTTTTCTTCTTATCTAAGATTATTATCACAAGGATTTTTAGAAATCGGTGTAATGTTCTTCAAAAGTGCATTGGCCAACATATTTCTCCCTTCTGATCTAGATTTGAAAATCTAAAAAAGTTAGTATAATGTTTTTACCAAGTATAGCTACAAATGCTTTTGCCTCTCTGATGCTAGATTGTTAAATCGAATTCAAAGAAGTTAGCTTGGTATTTCTCTACTAAACCGTTTTGACTTCAGAACAAAAGTTGTTATCCAAGTATGAAGCTAGCGTGACATTCTTACAAAGAGATCCCAATTTCTGACCAATATCGTTATTATCTTGAGATCTGTGTATTGTACTTGCTAAGTATAACTGCTAATACTTTCCTTTATTCTAATCTAAGGTTATTATTATAAAGGGTTATTATTATAAAGATTCAAATACTATGCAAAGTACACTCACTAAGCTTTTTATTTAGCTTAAATGAAAGATAAACCGGGTATAAATTGCTATAGTATAGTTGCCCGTATATATAAAAAATAATTTTTCAAATTTCATTCGGCTGATCTTAAACACAATTTAATAGCCACATCTTACGAATTCTACTTTTGATATCATACTTGTTGCTATATACTCTCAAAGATCTAAAAATCAAAAAAACATTCACAAAATTGGTTACGGGATAAGCTAAAAATGAAGTATGTTAAATGCTTTGTTTGAATTCTATAGATCTAATTAATTTAATTAATCTAAGATCTTACTTAGTAAATGCCACATGCATACAAAGTAAAGTCTAACAAAAAAAAAAGATATTTAATGATCTTTTAATTAAAAACTAGTGGTCTCATTTTATTATCTGTACTACTTTAATACAAAAATTTATCGACCTTATTTATGATCCAAAATTTTAATATGGGTCTTGCTTATATATGATCTGTGTCACATTTAATATATGAAATTCTCTAATTAACTGGCAGATCATCAATTAAATCTGATAATATATTTCCATATCTTGATATACATTTACGTAACTTGTTTATAGCATTAGTTCTTTCATCTTGCATTGCAAAGGTTATCAACTTTGAACGTGAGTCAAGTAAAGTAGATAATATAGTTGATGGATTAATAAGATTCCAATATTCTTCTAATTTGTGAATTATAGATTGAGCTATATAACACTCATCCTCTTCATGATCAGAAAGATACTGATCAAAATGATGCTGAAGCCCAATAAATACTAGTCATACATCACTAATAGCTAGATAAGAATTAAGAGACAGTAGTAGCATTGCTTTGTATACTGGTTCAAGGAGTTCTAAAATTGCATTAATCTGATTCTATTCATCTTCGTCAAGCCACAAGTTTTCAAGTTGTTTTTGTTTTTTAAAACCAGATAGTCGAGCATTTCTCTCATTTTATTAAATTTTTGTAGCATTAGGAATATACTATTTCAGCGTGTATCAATATCTAATTCTGGCTTTAAAAGGCCAAATTCATGTATAGTACAAATTTTTCATAATGCATCGCAAAATAATTGTGAATGGCATATTTTTTTAATAAAATTTCTAATCTTTTCAACAACTCTGGTTTCAAGCTACATGCCATGTTTTACTTAGAGTTGTTGGTGAAACTAATTTTTAATAGTGCACCGATGATGCACCTGGTTAGTATACCGAAACTGGTGCACCGATAGTGAACTAGAGTTATAGATAAAACTAATCTTTAATGGTGTACCGATGATGCACTATCTGGTGCACCAGTTTGCTAGTGAAATTAATTAGTTTCACCAACAACTCTAGTTTTACTGCAATATTTAAGATATGAGCAGCATATCTGTGATATATAAATTCTTTATTTCTTGCTAAAAAAAAATTTGTTTATAATTCATGTTCTGCAACAATCATGCTTGCATCATTATTAGTTGTAAGCCCAATAACCTTTAATATAATTTCTATTTTACTAAACAATACTGCAAGTAAATCTTTAGTAACTACACTGTAATGATGATCAGGATAATGCAATAAGTCTAAAAGAAAGTTATGTGCCTTTTAATCCTTATCAATATAGTGTACTGTTATATCTAAATATGACTAAAAAGATATAGATGTTCATATGTTGTATGTGATTGAGACCATTGAATTAGTATTTTTAAGCAATTCTGTAATTCTTTCACATGCATTTTCAAAACGATTCATTATCTCATTTTGTAATGTTTGTCTACAGAAACCATGATAATGTGAATCAAGAACACCAAGTAACTTCTTAAAATACTGATTATCTGCAATAGAGAAAGGTAATTGACAGCATATAATCAAATCTACAAGTTTTTTATTTATTTCTGTTACTCGTTGAGCATCTTTTGCTGTATATGGTTTTGTAGTAAAACATAGAAACGTTTGTTGTTTTAGAGAAATATTACTATGATGCTTGTTATTAAGGTGAGTTGCTAGTGTTCCTGTTGTATTTTCTGGTTGCTATTTTTTTTGCAAAGATCACAAACTATCGCAACTACCTTGTCATCATCATCTTTTTCTTCATAAAAAAAATTCCAAACCACAGATATACATTGCCTAGCTTTTTTCAAGAGATTGGTATTATTACTATTGACAGAACTATTATTATCATTTGAATTATTATTACTATTTGAATTGTCATTATCATTTGAATTATCATTATTGTTTGAATTATTAATAAGATTTGTATTTTTGTTATTATCAATAATAGAATCTGCATCTTCATAATTATTATTAACAATATTATTATCACTTGTATAGCTTGTATCTTCGTAATTACTCATATTGAAATTTGAACTTATACTTTCTAAGTCGCTACAATTTTTTTTTTAGAAATAACATTTAAATGATTATTTTAATGTTTTTAAATATAAAAACATGTTTAAAGAAATTTCAATAAAATTGCATTTATTAGCAAATCAAGTTATAAACTTGATTAGTATAAAGAAATAAAATAATTAAACATGAAGTATACTTCTAAAAAAAAGAAGCATCTTATATTTAATATATATTTTTATAAGCCCCAAAGTAAACAAGTTCGTGCATATTGTTTGTATCAAAATCGAAATCAAGTTAACCAGCTAATTATCTTAAAACACTAGCGCTAATAAAAGATAAAGAAATTTTATTTTTATGATTTATCTAAATTTGGTTTTAAACTTCAACTCTACTTACCTTTTTTTGTTTTAACCGTTAAATATTTAAAATCAAATTTGGATTTGTCTTATTCCCATCATACACTTCTATTTTTTTAAACCCCAAGGTAAACAAATTTGCACGCACTGTTTATATTGAAATAGAAATCAAATTAACTAGTTGCTTATTATTTAAAAACATTAGTGATAATAAAGATATGTAAAAGAATTTCACATTTTTATGATTCATCTAAAATTTAGTTTTAACTATACTTGCCTTTTTATTTAACTATTAAAGTTAGATTAGAAATGTTATCCTGCTTATCTGAATTCAGTTCGACTCTTGTTTGAGCCCAAACCCAATATAACTCAAGTTTTTGCAGTCACATAATTTTTATTATTATATTTAAACTCCTCATGCTCCAAACGAGTTTGAAATCGATTAGATAAGTAAAATGCTTGATTTGTAATTTCATGTATTTGCTTTAATAAATAGTAATAGCGATAGCAGGTTTTATTGAATTGCTCGTGCAAGCATAATTATTATTACATATGAATGCTCCGAAACAGTGTTCCAACAGGTTTTTAAGCACAAACTAACTGGTTGGAGCAAAATAACATCACTAGTTAGGATTACATATTCGTTTGCAATCATAGTATCAAATAAAATTTATAAGTTAATATAATTTATATAGTTCAAGATATATTGTATGTATAATATATTAGTTCAGAGTAATAGCTCCAGATCAAATTTACTCTGAAGAGTTATCTATTTTAAATTAATAGCTTAAATTTAATATTGCTTTGAAGTAGCTTACTCTAATAATAAAATTAAATACTCCAAAGTGGTGTTTTGTTTAAACTACGCTGGTATGGAGTGGTTTATACTTCTTGGTTACTCCAGAGTATAATACTCCATTAACAGCCCTAGATACCTGATTCAGTAATTTATTTTATCATGGTCATTACTTCATTTCACGATTCACGAATGACATGTGCCAATTTCGGATTGACCTACTTCATTTCACGATTCATGAATGACACATGCCAATTCCGGATTGACCTAAATTCCGTAACGACGCGGAACAAATAGATATAAAACATGCATTTCTTTCCGAAATAATATAAAATTCTAATTTAGCAAAATAAAAATGCTAA